GCGCATGTGGGCAAGGCTGGTGTGGACATGATCCGTCAGAGCATGCCCTTGTGCTTCTGAAGTGATGCTCTCAAAAGGGTATTCCGCACTGCCATAGACATGTTCTTCGGTGAGCATGTTGTGGGCATGGTTGTCAATGACGGGGAACGATTGAACAATCTGTTGGAGGTCCTCGATGCCTGCATTTTCAAGGTCACGTATTCGGTGGAGGGTAGGATAGAGCTCTGGTTGAGGGGCCATGGCTGATAAGGTGGTGGTAGGTAAACAGAGTGATTTGGAGGCAGCACCAGTGGCTGGTGGGCTCAAGATATGAGAGAGTCTGGACAGATTAGAACACTACTGGATCCCGAAGAGGCATGTAACTGACCTAGGGAAACACCAGTATAGGTAGGAGAGACTGTTCAACTGATAGGAAACCTGCCACAGGTGCTCAACTCCGATAGAGCCAGCCTGGTTAGACTTTCAATGGCAGCCGATATACGTGCGTGGTGCACGCGTGGCGCGTCTGCCCTTTTGAGCTCAGGGCACTCTTGACTTCTCACGTCAGATATCACAAATGAGTGTTCTCGCGTAATCAAGGAGAGCAGGACGACAGTGAGAAGCTTCTCAGCGACAATACGACTGAGGCAGAGTCGAGCTGGAATACACTCACTGAGAAATGCTTGACCTTGACCGTTTGGGGATCCTTGGAGCCTCGAGACCGCGCCTCCTTTTTTCCCCTTCGACCATGTCCATCACTCGCCCGCCAACCCACCCCACCACGAACCGACCACCTACAGACCCATCCTGAACCCCAAGCTGGCGACTCGGAGCTTTGCCGTAAGAAGGCAGCCGTCTCTCTCCTGCCTAAACGAGATGTTAACCTTGCAGATCAACTGTCAAGCGCCATTAGAGAGTTGACGGGGTCGGCCTCTGTGGCCTCCCCAAAGGGTCAGTGAGTGGAGGGCCTGAACCCCGAAGCAGCTCACTCACCACTCAAATCTCCTAGTCACAGTGATGAATCCATCCCTGACGGTTCGGTCCGCACATGGTGAGGGCACCCAAGTTTGCTACCCAGAGAACAGAAGGGTTGCCGAGACGCCTATTTGGCCCTATTGGAAACGAGATAATACTAACTGTGGGTTTGCGCCAGTCGTATCACCTCCTTCATGACGTCCGTCGCTTTGTACCAGCAAACATGGCCTGTCAGTTCACGCCTGCGTCGGCGGCACCGAGTATTGCACGGAAGATTCAGGACGACCTTACCATATCGGCGCGGGATGGGAAGCTATCAAGAAAACCACTCCAATGACCATGTCGGCCACTGCGAAGAGATCCCTCTGTAGCGCCCGGAGATCCATCAGTCCGCCAGCGTTGAGAAGGAAAGTTTCACACGTAACTGAGCAAGACACACACGTGGCCTGCACATGGCCTGCACACCCAGACCACGTTCGAATTTTCAGTTGGAATGTCAATGGCGTCGGTCCATTACTGCAGAAAACCTTGTCTTTCGGCGGTGCGTCTCTGTCGCCGCTCCGATCGTTTTTGAAACGCCACCAGTGGCCTCAAGTGCTTTGTTTGCAAGAAGTCAAGGTCAGCTCTAGAGACGACGCGACCCAAAGACAGCTGCAACAAGCTGCCAATCACGGTCACGCGGGCGGAGAACCTACGTACACGGCTCATTTTTCTCTTCCGAGAGATAAGTACAATGCTACCGGGTTTGGTGGCAGAGTTCATGGTGTTGCCTCTTTTCTGAGAGATGACTTCGCCTCGAGCGTTCGTGTCACCCGGCGGCCAGACTGGGATCTTGAAGGTCGGGTTTTGATACACGAACACGAGGTCGGTCTAGTCATCATCAACGGCTACTGGGTCAACGGGACATCTAATCCCTACCGAGATCCTACAACTGGTCAGATCTCTGGTACCCGACATGACCACAAGTTGCGTTTTCATCGGCACATGTTGGAAGTTGTTCTGCAGTACGAAGCAGCTAACCGCCATGTCATTTTGATCGGAGACATGAACATTGCTAGGTCCCGAATTGACGGCCACCCTAATCTACGAACGTCCCCGCCGCAGCATGTCAAGAATCGGGCTGACTTCAATTCCAAGTTTTTCGACGAACCCAATGGCATGCGTGGCACCGATGTATTCAGGCATTTTCACGGTAACACCAAGAAGTTTACGTATCACCCGCGTGGAAGCGCGTGGGGTGCGAGCTGTGATCGAGTAGACTTGATCATCACCAGCCACGCCTTGGTGGACAAGCTGGATGCTGTCACCAACACTGATATTCTGGATTCTGCATCAGAACGTGGGCATAGCGACCATGTCCCGCTTTGGATCTCCATTGATTTAGCAAGACTCGCTGAGAAAACCCAAGTCGCTGTAGACGGTCCATGAGGCTGAAACGTTGTTCATCTCACTGACCGACCGCCTCTGTGGCAACAAACAGTGCAAACCCCGCGGTACGGAGAAAGGATAATCCGACACATTCCCCCTCCTCCCTTGCATGACCCTTACAACCTTCCAACTTCCATCCAAACCCTCTCTAAAGATTCTATTCACTCTTTGACCAAGATCCTTCCTCAAGTTGGACCTTGGCCATCAGATATCTGAGTCTCCGAAAACCTGCCGTCACCAAACATGCTGGCACTCAAGTCCATGAGGCCCCCCTTTTCAAGCCCAGACTCACGGCACGCGACCAAAGCAAAGGTCCAACTCCCGTCAGAGGTTTTAGATGCGATTGCTGAGCAGCTCTACGAGAGTGATTTTCGGCGATTGAGCTCACTTTTGCCTTTTTCTCTCGTTTCACACCAATTCCGACGGTCAGCGTTACCCTTCTTTTTCAGAACGGTGTCCCATATTGTCCGTGAGCACTTGGATGAACCGGAACATGGGCTTCTGCGTTACCTACTCAACAATCGCCATCTCCTTGGCAATGTCCGCACACTACACGTAAAACGGCCGCTAAGAATACCTCCATTTAGCCCTTTCGAAGACCCCGTTGTTGTTGGCAGTTGCGATCATCATTACATGGATCTCGAGACGATCCGTGAGAGCCTGCCTCTCATGCCTCGGCTCCGTCGCATCACGTATGTACTTTGGAGAGAATTTGATTTGTCCAAAAACGAACCAACATGAATGCGGCGGCTTTCTTGCTTCGATTCGAACCTATGTAACTAATGTTGTCCAGGTTGGAATGCTCCGCAATTGCAACATACCAAGTGCTTCAAATGCTGCCGAATGACCGCCAGTATGAAATTGTCATGGACCACCTCCGCACGTGTTGGCCATGGGCAGACTTGATTCAAGCAGTCACTGCTCTGCTTCCTCTTGCTGCACGCCACCAGGTTGCAATAGGGGCGTTTCGTTCAGCTCCTTATGACAATTCTACACCTGATCAATCCGTGTACGACGCAATTGCGAAAGCCACGGCAGTAGAGGTACACCACCACTGGCTAACTTGTCGGCCTAATGCTGCTCACTCGGAGAGGCCACATTTGAAAGAAGGTTCTTCGTGGACCGAATTGCGGCTGATGGTCTCGCTACCCCTACGTTTCACACCGCGGCCCTCGATACGCAGTTTGGATCCATCAATAATACCGTGGGCGAATCTTCGGCGACTTGCCATTGAATGGATCTTTTACCCGTCCATGAATGACTTCATCTATTCGTGTGCTCCTCGGCTCAGCCATCTTCAGGCCTTGCGACTGGATGCATTTCATAAGTGGCACTATCACGAAGCATGTAGCTACGTATCAGATGGGGAGGAACACTCCCTAAGAAGACTTTCAGAGCACCCTTTCGCGATCGATTTCACAAATATGCCAGAATTGCAAGAGCTGGAAATCAATGGAATATGTAACCACATCCCTATCACGGATCTCGTGGGCCCGAATCTGCGCCGGCTCCGGCTGCATTGCGAGAATCCCAGGTTTTCGGTCTACGGCAAAGAGAGCCAGCGCAGCCACACTGACATCCTCGCGGCGGCGAATCTCGCACCAAATCTTGAGTGGCTGGAGTTGGATATAGGGAACATCGAGAATTTGTGGCATCCCACCGCCATCCCTGGCGTGGATGTGGACGTCGAACAATATATGTTTCTGAATGCTCTCACTAAGTTTAGGCATTTGCGATTCCTCCGCCTATTCCCTCCATTCGCACCCATGACATCTCAGCCTGCGGACCACCGGGTGACACATGTTGTACCGGTCACGGATGACCAGGCTGTCCGCATCTTCGAGCAACTGCACCGAGAGTGCCCCTCCTTACAAATACTGTCCATCGCTGCAGCTCCATCCATCAGTGACGTTGACACGATGCATTGGGAAGTCACGCGACAAGGAGATCAAACTGTCCTGACGACCGGCCACAGGAACCGAAATTACAACCACTGTCAAACCTGGATTGGCCAGCGGAGGGTACGAAGCGAAATCAAACGCTTCAGCACGCCGCAGACATACCTGTCCGACTCTGGTGGCTGGATGCTCGAGCAAAATGATTTTCGTGTAAACCGTCCGTTTGCCTTCGCTGACGAGATCTACAGATGATCGACGACTGCATCGCCACAGTCCGAGTCCTCTATCCCACACATAAGGACATTTGCTTTCCGACCAGAATATTTCAGACCTTTCGGCTTGAGAGTTTCTTGAAAGTACCCACGAGGATCCCGTCTTGGCCAGTGGAAGCTGGAATGAACATCGTCTACTCTCGCTATTCTGCTGGCCACCCCGCGCGGCGTATACACTTTACGTCTTGATTGAGAACAAGCATTGGAATAGCAACTCAGTTTCTCCCAGACTAGCGGAGTGCAGGATTGTGCCTTGTCCCGGCAACGTCCATGCACTTACTCGCCAGACAATTCAGAGACCTAGTTATTGGTTTTACTAGTGACACAGTCAGGGCAGTTAGAAGATGTGTTCTTGCACACGGTGATTGTTCGCTTATTGTCTACCCAAGGCCTTCTATGCAAGACTGCGAGAAGGGATTCCTCAAATTGCGAGCAACAACGAAATCTATCAATCCCATGCCCCAGGCATTGCTCTGGACATTAGCCCAGTAGCTATGCAATCCTCACAGAAACGGCCAGTGTGGTCACGATGACCCTCATTATCTCGACTCTGTGCCCCTGACTCCTCGCGCCTCACCCACCAATCAGACAAGTCCATACCACATCTCTCGCACGCACGATCCAGGATCGTCTTATCAGGTGTGTAGCTTCCGCTTTCGGTAGCTTTCGTGCTATCAGGGCTGACGCGGCGTTGGAGGATGACTTTCCCGGTCTTTGAACGTGATGTAAAGAAAGCCGAAAGCTCTTTGAAGATGGGAGATCTTGCAGGGGCAATATCTTGTGACGGCAGTGGCGTATGCATTTCTGTTGGACCACATGATCCAACAGGAGGGAGAAATGACTTGGTGGTCGAAGCCCTTCGGAAGGGATTTAGCGCTTTCGTGGTTGAGAAGCTGCGTCGGATACGACTCAAGGAACCAGTTTGCAACCAACGGGGCTCATCTGATGGTGACGTGATTAAATGCTGGGAAGGCGATGTGCTTGACCCTGTTGAGGCTGAGAATTGGAGCCCCTGACTCTTCGAGGAGTCTACAGACAAATGGGTACCCGGACGAACCCATGAGGCAGTCACTGTCCCCACTAGCGGCGTAGACGGCTGTTCCGCCAGGTCCAACGGAAGCTGGTGCGGAATGTTTGGACAAGATGACAGCTCAGCAGCCTTGAGAGATTGTGGAGGTGTGGCAAATGGTGTCGAAGATGCTGTGGACTGCTTCTGCCGTGGAGTCTGGTGCAGCTGTGGGCCTGACTGATATGGAGACATGAATTCTGCATGTCGTTTTGATGACTGAAGAACCAACCATGGAGGATGCATTGTATGTTTTTGGTTTGCGGCCCCGAGTCTGTTGGCATCCGGATTCAACGGGTCCGTCAACGATAGTCTTGAGGAAGCTCCGTCCAACAAGCCCTTTGGATGTATGACTTTGCCTGGACGATTTCTCGGCGCTCTAACATGCTGCTCCAGCTTTGCAAGGGACTCTGGCAAGTCGACACAACGGGAGCAGACTGGCGGCTCCTCGACAATCATGCCATGTTTGTGCGGCTCGCAATTGCAATCAAGATAGGGCGGGGGAAGCAGAGGAGACTGGCTGACCGTCAGCAGGTTCTGGCTATGGTGGTGAGCGTGTGCTCCCAGCTTTCAGCCAGCCATACTGCGCAAATGAGGCAAGAAAAGCAACTCCAATGCCACTAGCACCATCCAAAATTGACAGCGTCAGTCTCTCTGAAAACTAACTCTCCGCAGCGCCAGCAGATGCTCATGTGGTATGTCCATCGCCAACAGTCGGCGCACACGATGCGGCCGTCCAGACCAAAAGTGTGAGGCAACGATTTTTGCTCGGTCCAGCAGATGGTACAGAGGAAGGGGTGGAACTCGGACGATGTGGGCTCAAGGTCTTTGCGCGGCGCGGGGGGCTTGGGCGGCGCGGGAAGTGGTGGGGGTGATGCGCTCGCGAGGGCGCCGGAGATGGATCGAAAGGACGATAGCGATATGTCGGGATTCGATAGGGACCTCGAAGGAGCGAACGTGTTCTGCGGGTATGCCATGGAGTGAAAGACATGCGGTTGGAGTGAGAAGAGTAACTAACGAGTGGATGAACCGAAGGGAAGGAGAGACGAGGGTGAAGTTAAGTGAAGTGAAGTGTCTTTTTCCATCTGTCAAAGTGCGGAAACGCAGGGGGGAAGGAAGTTGCTCTTTCCATTCTTCTACCTAAACTAGGCGAAACGACCATCAACAACAACCAAGCAAGCAAGGCGGTCCCTCCCAACCAAAGACGATCGATGGAAAGACTCTCTAGGCTTATGCCCTCCAGAACCCGCTCGCCAACCAAGCCGCATAAGAACTCATGCCCACAACAAAGCCCAGCGTGCCAAAGTAACCGACCGGTCTTCCCCAACCCATCGAGTCCTTGGCCCTCAACCCAAACTCGACATGGGCGATCCTGAAGAACAGCAGCGCAGCCAACGAGCCCGTCAGGGCCCATTTGTTACCACCGTTCAACTCGACAAAGGTCGCTACGAGGAGCGCAATGGGGACGTTCTCGACGAAGTTGGCGTGGCAGCGGGAGCTGATGAGGAGGCTGTGGCTGGGGTCGGGGCTGTTCGATGGCGTGGAAGTTGTTGTACTCGAGGATTGACTCTTGTTGGTGGTGGTGGTGGTGGTGTTGGCGGCGGCATCGGTGCCTATCATGGTGTTGCACGACACCCGCACCAAGCTGACACGTAGGTTGAGGAGGGCGTAGTAGGCGGCGAATGCTAATGTTTCCCACCCAGTCAGCATTGCCGCTCAAAGAATGGATAAAGACGGGTCATCATACGTACCCGGAGCAAAGGTGGCTGTTACGGAGAGCATTTGAGGCACGAGATTTGCGGCGGCTATATCGGCCGGCCATGTCAGCTGAGATGGCAGTTGAACAAAGAGTCTTGGAATCTTACCAGACATGTCGAAATCGAGTGCGACTGTTGTTGTGCTACGATGAGACTGGTTCAAAGGGGATGTTGCCTGGTGGGGGGTGGGGAGACGAGACCTGATGAATACTTTGAGTGTGCTTCTTCAACAACTCAGGATGAATAGAATAATACACTCCTGCGTATTTATATTCTTCGTCCCCCGAAACATTGCGAGCAGCGCCGTCCGTCGCATCGCGCATCATAGGGGCCTTGAAGAGCTCTGTACCTCTCTACATCGCTGAACCAAGTCACTCGTCGGTCCCCGTCGTGCCCGTGTAATATGCTAGCGGGAGGGGTTTTTCTCTACAGGTTCCCGATCGGGTTCAAGCGCAGTTGCCGCATTGGGCATGTGTATTTCTCAGATGGAGTTACGAGACCCGAAAGGGCCCAAAAGCCCAGGAACCAAGCCAGCAAGCCCAGACCCAAGACCCGACTAAGCCCAAGCCCGGATCCCCAGGCGTGCTGGGCTAGGCCTACGCCAGACCAGGCCAGGCCCCCCTTTCCGTGAACGAGTTGATCCGCACTAATTTGATTTGGAACCGAATTTAATTATTTGGAAGAAAAGCTGAGGGCTGGTTGGTGGTGATGAGGTGCGAAGATACGAAAACGAGGGGTTTCCGGAACTCTGTCCGTACGTATTACGTGCGTGCGTACGTGCGTACGTCGCTCACAAATACGCTATACACACATGCACGTCCCTCGTACTATACATGCATACACCTGCCATATATCGAGGCTTTGTGACTTCCGGATTCTGATTCACTCGCATTCGTACTCGTGCGAGCATGAGCACGAGCGCACGAGCGCACGAGCGCACTGTTTGGATAGGCTGGGATGGTCTGAGCTGGTTGGGCTGAGCTGGGCTGAAGTCGTGTAACCCCAAATCTCACCTGCCGGGTCCGTACGTACGCACACATATACGCAGAGAGTGAGACTATATGTGTGTGTGAAGGGGGAAGAGGGGGGAGAGGGAAGGAGGCCGGGGGTGTTGTCGTTGTTGTTGCGTAGTAGACTCTTCAAGGAATCACACAAGTCAAAAGAACCCGAATACAAGACGCATGGGGCAGAGTTAAACGGGTAGTCAGTACCTCGTTGCTATACTACAATATTACCAGTCCAGCCCAATCCAGTCCAGCCCAACCTCTTTATTATCCGTAGCCGTGCGAGTTATAAAAGGTTAGTCACCCAGAGCTGACAAAAACGATTTATGAGCAAACAGTGAAACCATTGGTTTTTTTTTTCTCTGGAGAATAACCCGATGTTTTTCAAATATATCAAAAAAAAATACTAACTATCTAATGCCCAGAGGATGCTATTGCCACTATTGCTCTGTAAAACCCGCCGGCCGCTATGCTTCAAAAAAAAGGATTGACAACCCACCAATACTACCCGCTGATTAGATACCTAAAGGGAGAACACCCCCGTATCTTTTCTTTCCCTCTGCCATGCCGTGCTATGCCATCACATGATCATCATCATCATCCCTTTGTCTCTTTTCGGGTTCCGCCCACTTGTCGTTCCGTTGGGGGGAAAAAGGGGTGAGGAGAAAAAGAAAGTACGATCCGCTTAGTACTTGATGTGGCAGCGGATCAGGCACTCCTCGACACCGAGGGCCAAGGGGGGAGGGATGTTGGCCTTGAACTGGGCAAAGTTGTTGGCGTCGATCTGCTTGGGGAAGCCGAGCGAGGCGTCGACAATGTCCGGGTTGGTGTTGATGATGTAGTTCTGGGCGATGGAGCTGGCACCGGGGTCCTCGGAGTTGAGGCCGGCGATGGCCACGGCCGGGTAGCAGTCGTTGTTCTGTTGCCAGTGGATCGAGCCCATGGGGAAGACGGTGCCCTGGAACTGGGTCAGCGACGTGGTGAACTCGGTCGCCAGGCCGTTCTCGAGCACGAAGCCCGTGGTGAAGTTGCTGTCGGTGGCCACGGTGAAGAACTCGGTGGCGTCAGGGTGGATGTGGGGGGTGTTGAGACCGCAGGGGTTGAAGAAGATGCCCGCGGCCGAGATGCCCAGGCCCGTCAGGACGGGGAAGTTGGCCCGGTTGGCCAAGTCGACCTGGCCACCCTTGCCGGGTGTGACGCCGGGGTTGGCGGCCGGGTTGAAGTCGAACTTGAGCGCAATGTTGCCGTCCTGGATCTCGGACTGGATCTCCTTGAAGCGAGCCACGCGGGAGTCCTCGGTGAGGAGCTTGGCGATGGTGCCCGCGGTCGGGACTGGGTTGGGGCTGGCGGTCGGGTTGCCGTAGCTGGTGCTGTACGAGCCCTCACCCCAGTTGCCACCGGCCGAGTACTTGTTGTCGGCGCTGGAGTAGCTAGACGCGCTGGAGTAGCTGCTGGTTGGCGCAGCGCTGTAGTAGCTGGTGGTCATCGAGTAGTCTCCACTTGCTGGAGTAAGCAGCAGAGCTGGCTCCCATGGGAGTAGCGGTGGCGGCGGCCGCAAAAGCAGCAACGAGAAGCGACTTAGAATGCATATTTTTTTTTGTTTGGCTTGACTGGGATATTTGATTGGATCGGGGGGTTTTGGTTTCAAAAAGTGATTTGGATTAGAATGTAGTTGGTATTGATAGCTTTGTATGCTAAAGAATGTGTCTTCAACAGCAAGGAAAGAAGAAGTAGGAAATAAAAAAAGAAAAAGGGAAAAGACTTGATTGGGTTTGTTTGATTGTTTTTTGTTGTGAATGGGAGAAAAAAAAATCCAGTCGAAGGTGAGGGGGTTGATGGTCTTTTATGTGTCTTCGTTATCGTGTGTGTTTGTCGCAATGCGGAATCTGGCTTCGACCACCCACACCCTTGCGTTCCTGGCGAGCAAGCAGCCTTCGGCAAGTCGTCTCTGTGGCTATTCCATCGCATCTAAGCTCTGCTTACTGTGGATATCAGACGAACGAGTATTCCAAAGTAGGTATCTAGGTGGTGTACAGGGATTCGGGAAGCAAAAAGACAATATCCATTATCAGCAGGTCCGACAATGGCGGAGATGGACATGGGAGGGGGAAAAGGGCAGCCACAGGCTGCGCATTATTCTCGGATGGGCTTTACCCATGATCCTTCGCCGCGCGCAAACTAAACAAGCCCTCATTCTACAGAAGGGTTTAGTGCTCACGCTTCCTGTGTGATTGCCATGGCCCATGGGAGGGGACCGCGGCCTTTGCCCAGGCATGGGGTACTGTACCAAACCCCTCACCCTGTTTGTAGGATAAGCCAAGTGCCAGATCAAGGAGAGTGACTAATGCAGGTTGAGAGGGAGGCTGGAGAGCAGGCGAGCACGCAAGGCGGAGGCGAAGGAACCACGAAGAAGGCGATGAAATGGATTGGCCTTGGAATATTCTATTTTCGTGAGAGGCTGTTGATAAGCATTTTGTCCTGCCTTCTCCTAGCCGTAAAGGGAAAGGCTAGCGCCATGTATATGTATAGTCATTGGCCACTTTGGGTTAGCGGAACGTTGTCGAGCCGACATTGGACGCCGTGGGGTAAAAGTGGAGCCACCGCTGACCGTGGATAGCGTCCCTATCATCAGCGACTGCCACATGCCTAACTTGGACCATGTCCCAATATCATGCACCGTGACCGCTGTCGTTCTGATCAATTTCACTGCTTCCCTCAGGAGCCTGCTATCTCAGCTGGGGACTCGTGCTGACCTGTGTCTGACCGACATTTCCAGACGGGCACAGCTCGAGTATGAATCCAACAATCTCTTTTTACCAACCGCTCGAGGTCCCTTTGCAAGCACTCGCGCACGTTGTCAGCCGCCTAACACCAGTTTAAACCACACCGACACCCGCCCGACCGCCTGATCGGGTCAGGCTCCCCGACTCGATAACCGCAAACGATCTTGGGATAATTGGAGTAGTTCCCCATCTAAAACCTGCCTCCTATTCTGGTATCAAGATCGAACCATCATGGTCGGTGAACCCGGCATACAATGCCCGTGATCAGGGATCAGGCTGCAGAAATTACCAGGCTGCAAAGTCTTCTTGTATCTGGAGTTCCGATATTGAACGCGGACGAGGCCCCTGACTGTCTAAAACTGGCCACAGGCATCGCCCAATTTTCCCAGATACAAGATACGTAGGTAGGTTTAATCAATGCTCGGACAGACATACAGGGTGGGTTTCAGCCACGCCACGAGAGTGAAAATTTTCAAGTTTCTGCCTGGTGCAGGGTAAGACTCTGCCGCTCCAAGTTGGGTGGTATGGTGGCTATTGATATCGACCACTGATCCAATGCCGCCAGATATACTTTTGGGCACAGGGCAACCCTGTAAAATAAACCATACCACCACAAAAATCAACATGCTACCAGATTCAACCAGGCGCACTCTATTTTTGTAAGTTCTGCACGAAGGAATCGAGGTTGAATTCCTCTTCGTACTGTCTCTCGTCCCAGAGTTCACCAACGTCGTCGAGCCACCCTTTTTCCCCCTTCTTCCTAACTTCACCTGTCTCAAGATCGACCATGTCTTCATCTTTGGTGCCTCCCGAGTCACCTGCATTATCCGCTGTTTCGCCAAGATTGAAGAGGTCCAGAATCTGATCAGTTTCCATGCTCCCTAAGCCTGCATTCTGTTGATTGACAACAGTGGATGCAACGTCAATCTTGAACCGTTGAAGGCTCAGGATCTTTTCCTCCAAGGTCCCGCGCGTAATCAGGCGATAGACGTTGACAACCTTCTTCTGGCCAATTCGGTGTGCGCGATCCATGGCCTGGATGTCTTTCTGTGGGTTCCAGTCATGTTCGACAAAGATGACGGTGTCGGCACCAGTGAGGTTCAGTCCAAGACCACCCACGCTAGTGGTCAGCAAAAGACAGTCATAACTGGGGTCGTTGTTGAACTGGTTGACAATATTTTGACGCTTGGTGGCTTCCACGCTCCCATCGAGTCGCAGAAACTGCACGCTAGGAAGCAGCTTGCCCAGAACTTCCGTTTGTACCATATCAAGCATCTCTTTCATTTGGCAGAAGATCAGTGCCCGATGTTGCGATACATAATTCGAAGCTGACATGTCATTGGCATCATTGGTTACGCCGATGCCGCAATCAATCAGCAAGTCGCGCAAGGCACTCAGTTTGGGTGCATGGGCAATATCGCGCAGACTGGATTTGGATGCTGCAAGTTGTTTTTGGATCGCCTCGTATTGCTTGTTTCCCTCCTTGACGACAAGGGCAGGTGAGTTGCACAATTTGCGCATGTACTGTAAGGCTTGGAAGATGTGCTGCTTGGCCTCCTTATCCGCCGATCCGATGCTGTTCTCCACCGTCTTGCGCTCCTTCTTGAAGAAGTCTTCGAATAGACGCTTCTGCAGATCACTAAGATCACAATAGTAGTTCTGCAGAATCTTGGGCGGCAGATCGTTGAGAACTTCCTCTTTCAAACGCCGCAACAAAAATGGCAAAACCTGCTTGTGAAGAGCTTCAATTGCCAATGCACCAGCCTCTTGTTCTTTGGAAGAAGACTTTGCATTCCGGCTAGCCGCGATCGGTTTCGCAAATCGATCCTGGAAGACCTTCTCTGTACCAAGGAAACCAGGCATGAGAAAGTCGAACAGCGACCAGAGCTCCAAGACGTTGTTCTGGATCGGCGTCCCCGAAAGAATCAGTCTGTGGTTGCTGACCAGCCTTTTCACGGCCTGGGTAATCTTGGCCTTTGGGTTTTTAATCAGATGACCTTCATCCAATACACAGTAATTCCAAGTGATGGGTGTGAGAATATCGTTGTCGTTTCGGCACACATCGTAGGAAGTTATGACCACGTCCGCCGTTTCGAGTAAAGGACGCCGGCTTATCCGGTCCGCTGGAGGTCCCACGTATGCAACACAGCTCAAAAATGGTGCGTATTGCTTGATCTCCTGCTGCCAATGGCCCGACAGCGTTGGTGGACAGACAATAAGGGATGGCAAACGCTTCATATCGGGTGCTTTGGTCTTGGCGTACTCCTCGGCCCGGATGTGATGATCGCTTGCCACGATACACAGAGTCTGGAGAGTCTTGCCGAGACCCATGTCGTCGCACAGGACGCCATGAAGGTTGTACTTGTTGAGAAAAGCCAGCCAGTTCACCCCGTCTTGCTGATACGGTCGCAATTCTGCTTTGATTGCCACAGGGATCTGGAAAGGCTCAACCTTTTTCGGGTCAAGCATTTGCGCCATGAATTTGCGCTCTCGTTCACGTCCTTGGAGCAATGACTCCGGCATCCCTGGCGGGTCAGGGATGCCCGCTTCCAGAGGCACCAGTTTCACCAATGTTGCAAAGGATGTAGTAGCAAGGAGACGGATATCGTTGTTGGCATCACTCATCCGGCCGAGAACAGGGACAATCAAGAAAATTACATATGGCAGGATCCTGTCGCCCATAGCCTGGATGAGGTGATAGACACATTCGGTTATCCCTTGTCTGTCCCTCAGATCCAGGGGGTTGCTGATGTTAGGCAAAACATCCTGCACAAGCCTCGTCATGCCCTCAACGGGGATGACACTGCAGATCGTTGCGAAACATTTGGCGGCGCTATATCTTATGACAGAGAGCCTGCTTCTCATCGCCTTCCCAATGAGAGGGCTTAACGACAAAACCCACTTATGCAAACCGGCGTCCAGAGTAGGTGACATCGTTCGCAACGCTGACATGGAGTCAACTAATGACTGGCCTTGCTCTTCGTCGACTTGTAGAGTAGCCGGATCAGATGGCTCGATGAGCTCGTGGATCGGGCCCTCAATGAGAGTTCTCAGTACAGGGAGTTTTTCCAGGAGCTGAGCGCCGTATGATTGCGCCAACTCATCAAGAGCACGTTTGGCACCCCGCCGCATGACACGAGCCTCCCGGGCCTCTTGTTCAAATCGGGCAGCATCGGGATGGTCCTTCCTGTCTTCTTCTTTTCGTAGCGACAGAACAATGTCCTCAAAAGTGGCGTTGGGGCCGAATTCCGGGGTCTCTGATGTATCCACGCAGGTAAATTTGACCAAGTTGGAAACCAGCTTGTCCACAGGGCCACGTTTGGGACTGGTGGTGTAGTGATCGATAAGCCCAGCAACGGCCGATGCAGATCGAGCTTGTAAGTCGTCATATTCTTCTGATTTGATGCTGTCCATAATGCATTTTATCAATTGACCTGGTTTCTTTGGGATTTCCTTGAGTCGGACTAGGATCGACGCAACCGCTGCCTTTATCGCGATGTCTCGGCCTTCTTTGATCTTTTTGGCTTCGTCGACGGCCGTCTTCGCGTTTGTACGGGCATCGTTGAGATATTGTGTCCCTGAAACACGCTGTGCTGGCGTAAGGCCCTTTAGAAGTCGATCAAAGTCTGTTGTCACGATTCTTTCGGCATCCGCAAGTGAGAAGGCTTTGGGGCCAGCGCCGATATCTCCTTGACAGACAACGGCTATCGCTGGTAATCTGTCTCGAGAGACATGCGCCTGATTCTGGAACGCGCTAATCAAGGATTGGCATTGGCCTCGGGCAGCCTGCAGCGAAGAAACTATGTCTGCATACCAGTTGTTGCCGTCGTCATCAAGGATATGTTGCAGTTGTGACACAATACCTGGCGTATCCAGTGGTGGCTGGGATTGGTGCTTCGCAAGCTCTTCCAGAATCATTGCTGCAAATAACCGTGAACTTGAATAAGGCGAAGTGATGAACGACATCAGGTGGCTCCAGTTCTTTTCAATTAGAGATGGACTTTGCTTGCTCAGAAGGAGACCTAGTGCCATTGAGCAGACAATTCTAGTCCTTAGCATGACATCTAGTCCGACAAGGTCCACTTCGCCATGCAACATGTGTCCATCGGTATTGTGAGAAAGGCGCTGATTTGTCTCGGGTTTCTCAACCTTTCGTCGTTTCTTGGGTTGCTGGTCAGATTCAGGAGTATTCCCATGCTTCACCGAAATAGGTGCCATTGCCTGACCCGACGGCTTGATAAGAAAAATTGTGTCCATTGGAATAGGGCTCCTTGCCTGACCGATAGGCTGAACAGCGACCCCGACCATTGGTGAGATGTGTGGCTCCAAGTCTGCTGCGAAGGCAGAAAACCCTCGGCATTCCATAAAGGAAATGAGGGCCTTCCATACCTCAAAGGACATCCAGAGCACTCCTTCGTTTCGCTCGAGTAGCATATTTTGGAATATCAAGCGGACCACGCGGCCACCTACCCACTCCATGTTGCTCGTGTTTGAGAGGTTCAGGAATGTGATCAAAGCCTTCAATACCGCCAATCGAACGCTGGTGATTGTGTGTCGCAGGAAAGGATACAGGCGAGGAACAAGCTTCTCAAATGACTGTTCCGGGTCTTCAGCGGCGTTGGTGCGCATTGCGTCCAAGATTTCAGGATGCGAGCAGAGAGTTGCAAGAAGGTCCATAACAGCGCCAGTACTGGCGCTCAGGTCGTCTTGCATATCCAGGAGACAGTCCCACACCACGCTGATAAGTTGGCCTAAAGCGCCTGGGCGCATAGTTGTCAATTCGCCAGCGATAGGTACTAAGGTTGCTGCGCTGACCGACTTGACATCGTCATCAGGATGGGCAAGCCCGTGCATAACGGCTGCGACGACTCCGTCGAGGAGGTGACTGTGACGAAGCAGCAGGTCCTTGCGGACGGCGACGAAATAGCGCAAACCAATCATGCCTCCATGACATACTTCCCAAATTGGTTGTTTCAGGCCAACGTTCTGTTGATTGACCATTTCCTGCAAGCAATTGTAAACAGAAATGGCCAGGTCGTCCGGTAATTGTGTGAGCAAAGCACCAAGAGTCTGACCGATCGTTTCACGGATTGGGGCAACAACTGTATCCGAGACGTAGTCGCCGAAGCGGTCCAACATCAAAACACACAGCAAGCGGCATGCAAGGTCATCAAGCCAGCGGCGATTCGCAAGGTCATTCTCGGCTCTGGATTTGCCATATCGACGACCGGCACCACGTCCGTGCACCCGGAGAACTTCTCGCAAACCCATGGCTGCGCCGTGTCGGATCTCCCAATTGGGGTCAAAAAGATCCACGGACAGGAAATCGCACATCACATCAAATGGCCAGTCGTGGGCGTGCTCTTCATCGGGTTGGATGAGCGGCTTTTCTGGGACAGCTTCACCCTTGAACTCGGACACGAGTGCGCTGGTGTCATCGGACCCTTCTCTCTTGATAGAGAAATAATCCGGTTTGGCATCTCCATTGGAGTCTTCATGGCCGTTGAGCTTTACGGGATGTGGAGTCGCTGAAACCGGTGTCTGGCCAGGCTCTGCCGGACGTCGACCTGAAAGGTCAACGACGCGCATCTTGCTTGCGCCAGCTTTTGCCGCTGATTTATTCTTCCTTTTCAACTGATTCAGCTGTCGTTTACTTAAGCCAGACTCATCATGCAGGGACTGGCCATTGTTGTCGGACGGGGATACAGCACTGTACGGTGCAGCAGAACCGAAGCTGTCCAGGCGTTGCAGTCCGGATTTTGTATCTACTCGAGTTACGCCAGGGGTTGTAACAGATTTCTGCTGGGAGCTGGCTGCAAAGTCGTACTCGTTGACCAAGTCATCCTCCATATATTCGCCGCCGAGGCCAAGTCGACTGGTGAGGCTCTGCTTCTGATGCGCCAGACGTTGGGCAGGTGTCATACCAGCCATCGAGTATTCATACTCTTTGCCGGCACTGCCTAGAAGCTTTTTCCCATGAGTGAGAATCAATTTGATGTCAAGGGTGCTGAGCTGGAGAAGGTCGTCGGCCTCGGGAGTTTTCTCTTCAATCTTGGACGCTACCTCCTCAACCTTGAGGGGCTCTTCTGACTTTGGGTCCGCATCGTCAGCATTGGGATCGAACTTTTCAGCATTGGAAACGATACCGCCTATAGCTTTGGCGGCAGCAGTGCGAGTGTCCCATGATTTAGATTGTAGGTAAGGAAGAACTCTGCCTAGAAGGGGAAAAAGGCTGTCGGAGTTCTGTTTCTGGACATCGGCGAGTTGTTGTGCGGCAGTATTTCGAATGAGCTGGGTGCTCCCCTTGTCCAGCAAGCTGATAATGCGAGTTAGTACTAGGGATGCTAGCAATGGTGATGCTTGCCAGCAGGAAGCGGAGGCTGCAAATACTCACGTGACGAGACGATCCAGTCTGTACGAAACAAGTTAGTCCACGCTTGGCAGATGCTGATGGTGAGGGTTCCAACCTTGAAGTTCCGGTAGTGGCCATTATTATTATTATTGTTCGCCAGTGTTGTAGTGTGGTTTCGTCTTTTCAACCACTCGCCTGCCAGGTCGCAACCCGCAAGCCATCAAATGAACGACGTGACCGCCGAGAATGGAGTCAAGTGACTTGATAAAGCCGACCAAATCCACCAAGAAGAAATTAATTCTCAAGAAAAAGATGAGGATGAGTAGAAAGACGCGTCGAAGGATCGGACTGGTCAAGGTGTCATGAGTTGTCGGAGTGGAAAAATGATGATGCTGGTGGTGATGCAGTGGTGCCGGGGGAGGGCACTGGCAGATCAGAGAATTGGAATCGGGGGCGCAGCGTGGGCTTAAGAGGGTCTGGAATGGCATTTAAATCCTCGCTTGCTGCGCCTGCAGCCTGCATCAGCCCCTGGCCTCTGATTGCTCTTTCCGCATGCCCTGGGTGCCCGCCTTGTGCAAGATTCGGCCACTTAGGCGGCACTAACACCCCATTTGCGCACCCAAGCTTTTCGCAAGCGCGTCTTGGCAATTTTATCACCCGTCAAAGGCCGTCCACTGCCAGCCTGTCCTCCCTCCAGCCAGGCACGCCAGATATAACCTCGCACTCCAGTCACTGCTGAGAGAGGGCCTGGGATGTGCTGGGCGGAAATACAGCACTTCTAGGTGGCAACGTTCAGAGAGTCCCGGGAGAGGATGAGAGCTCTCATATGGCACCCATCGAATTCCCTTCGTAGTTTAATGCGGTGTTGTACCGGGCATGTCTCAACGACAGAAGCAGTATCTGCATGGTTTATGTTTTGGAGGCGTTTGAAATACCCCACTGTGGCAGTTCAGGAGCAATTCAACCATCGCTTTTGGGACAAATAATCTAAACAACCATGGAGCAGGCAAAGAGTATCGGATGCGCGCAGCACTGGTCACCAAAGCCAAGCTCCAACAACCTGAACATCCCCCCGTTTATTGTCTTCAAACTTTGTGCGAAGGGTTTGAGCACCGATGCGACGGCATTCCGTGTATAACAAAAGGTGCATGAATTTTCTTTGGACCTAACGAATTCGACGCGCCGCCCGTCTGTTCAATGGAGGTCGCTTAATGGCTTGATGATATGTACAGCGGTGCAAACGGCATCCCGCGAGGTTCGACGATCACTCCAGTCTTTGCCAAACCCATCTGTTTCTAAGCAAAGGTAGTCTGTGTCGTGCCCAGCAGCGACTTGGTCTCCTCTTCCTTGCCAATCAGACCCAGACTTCGTATTTGGCCCAGCTTGGGCGCATTCTCGCGAGGGTGTGCTGCTTCTGCTTTCCGGAGGGCTTTCTGTATCGCCACCGTTCTCGCATACTAGATCATATGATCAGTTTCCAAGCTTCCCTTTATTCATGTGGCCAGGACGGTCACTACCTCTTTCTTGTGATGTAGGCATTCGTAGTAGTCTTCTAATCGTGGGGCACAGACGCCTTTGGCTCTGGCTTCAGGGTCGTGTTGATTGATGACATAGCAAGACATATACTCTTGCCAGAAGGGAAAGCATCGAGAGACACCTGTAGGCGAGAAAATCAGTCAGGACAAAGCTCCAGTTGATCGTGAGATCTCAAGCTTGCGGAGGTTGTGCACCGCAAGCGGGAGGACTCACCTCCATTTAAACCGTAGCCAGACGCCATCGTCAATAATGAAACTTATGAGGGACAGCAAACCCGCGAATCGTAAAGTCGAGTGGTGACAATGTTGTCGGCGCTGCGCTGTGTGGGTGTCGGGCAGCAGGTGAAGAGGGACAAGTCGAGGTTGGAGCAAAGCCAAGGTTCGGACTGGTCCGAATCTCCGACTCTGACGCAGTTGTTTGGTGGACACTTTGCTGGTGCTTGCGAACTTTCCACGCTGTCTACACATAAACAACCCCTTCACGGTCTCTCAACGAGGGCGCCTATCTGCAACATGCTCTCCGATCTTGCGGTATGAAGTCTCCGAATCGGCTAACGGACGCTCACGTCGTCCTTTCCGCCGTTCAAGCTACTTCTGACGGCGATCTGGACTCACTGCGCAACATCGTCCGCTGGCGGCCCGACATCTTTTCAACTACGTTCGTATATCGACTGCTACTATCTTTCTATCCCGCAGAAATTTCTGAACAATCCGCCCTGGTCAAATTTTTACATGGTCTACGGGATCGATCCGATGATGCCAGAGAGTCCGAACCTCCGAGTATTGAGCCCTCCGTAGCCAATCTCACCAACGACGATGCATTACGTCGATGCCACGCTTTAAGCTTGCGGCAGATTTCTGGAAATGAAACTCTACGCACAAAGAGCGAGCTGGCTAATGTGGTTGTTGAATGGGCAAAAAGATTGGAACAGCTTCATGGATCTGCTCAGCCAGCTGGGGAATTTGTCCAACATTTCATCGACCAGGATTCTGATCTGCGACTGTGGTATGAAACCTATCTTGTCCCGGTAATTCGGCTGCAATATGAGTTCTACCCGGACAGTGAAGAGGTGATCGGCCTACAGGATATGGAGAATTTGTCGGATACCGAAGGTGTACGGACACTTCTTCAGTATGCGGTGAAAACGCACAATCCTTCTGAGGTGGCAAGAGACCTCGACTGTGTGGTATCACCATGGGTTCGAGGGGCAAGTGAAGCAAAGAGGAGAAGAGTGGAATATTCTACTGAAGACAACCCGGTTGAGGAGGGACCGTGGGAATCTGTGTATGACTGGCTGATCTCCGCAAGCATGACCGATTTTAGTGTTGCAGCAAAAGCCTACGCTGACTGGAAAGGCCCTACGGAAGACTATAAAACGACGAATGACTGTGTGGCACGGTTTGCTCAGACTGGCATGGCTATTATTTATGGATGCTCAGAGGCATCATCAGAGGCCAAGAATGTCTGCAGACAGGTGCTTGTCAAGGTTGCAAAGCTTCTCAACTTAGGGATTACCGACCTCTTGCAGCCAGAACCAGATATATCGCTACCTGAGGGTTTTACCAAAGACCTCGAAGAGACAGATTTGCTGATCAACGCCCTGCTAAAGAAATCAAACAAGTTCACACGAGTGAATGAGTCTTCCGTTCAGTTACTGACTGGGATTTTGGCCACGGCAGAGATATTATCAGGTTTTGGTCTACCACGCACTACAAGGGACCTGGCACATGTCGCCATCTTCGGCTCGGACCGTCGTCACAAGGATGAACTTCGTCAATTGCTCCAACACGTTTCACTGCAGACTCGGCAAGAAATTGATTGGCGTTCTGTACGACAGCAGCTCCTTTGGCTCCAATCTTGGAGCAAAACTCGGCCAGTGAAGCTAGGACAGCAGCAAACAGCCTTTATCTCCCGCTTGCCCGTCAGCTATGTAGAAACTCAAATCCTCGACGCATTGCTGAAGGCTGCCCAATATGGTATCGTCAAAGAGGTTTACCTGGACAACCCTTTGCCGTCTCTTTCCGCGTCCGAAGTCGAAGCCCGTGTTGTCGCCGCGATCCTCGAGGCCTATGATAATGCCAGCAACGGGAACAGAGATCGTGGCGGTATGAAGCGGGCAAGCGAGATCTTGAAAGCCTTCCGACCGAACTTCCCCAAGTCCCCTGGTCTTTCGGACATCGATCACTTGATCAAAGCCACTCACAGTCTGTCGTTCTACCAGCTCACCCTGCAGCATGGTGTTCCTTTCAAGCCCGTCTCCATTCGAGTGCAGAAAGATCCGCTAAACCTGGTAGAAAAGGTCTTGGAACAGGACGTGAGAGCATACACCAAGCTGGACGACCTACTAGAGATAGGTCGTAATCTCATCCGTGCTCATTTGCCAAACCGGGGGAATGTGATAACAGAGGAATCGGATCCTCTTCAATCATGTCTCTTGGACGCTGAACACAGAATAACATACCAGGCAATCATGGCAGCTTTGGGTGCTAATGATTTCGACACGGCATATGCGTATATCACAACACGGCTCAACACACCCGTGGAGCAGGCTGCGTCTTCTGGGTTTGTCGATGATGTCTCCTGGCGCGCAGCCTATGCGGCTGGCAAATATCGGCCCAGCACGTCGCCGAAGAATTTGAATTCACGGATCGACAGTTTGACACAGAGGATGGAGCTGCTCTCGCGAGCCTTGATGTTGGCACCTTCTGGTGAAGCTCTGTCGGGAATACTGGCTACTTGGCGCCGCTACGAAGAGGAGCTAGATGGGCTGAAGACGCAAGCTGTGGAGGAAGAGCGAGCTTTTGAAGCCAGAGCCGATGCCACTGTGCCTGGAGCATTTGGTCTCGATCACCGGGATGCAGATGTAGCGGAAACGAAGCGCGTCATGGCGCGTCGGTCCGGGCCGAATGGGGCAGGGCCTTCTTATGAGGAAGAAGCACCGCTAGGTTTGTTCGATGTTGCCAGAGGAGCTGCATTGGCGCTACGTAAAAGTGCTGCTTTCCCACTGGGTTCCGGAGGGTTGGGAGATCTCAAGATACATTCGGACACAGCGAAACAACGCGATGCACAAAGGGAGCAAGCCGGCTCTCCCGTGTCGGACGATGGTGGAAGGGTACGAAAGAGAGATATGGTTGCGAATATGGTAACAAGTGGCCTAGTGAGTGGAATGGGCTGGGTTCTTGGTGCTCAACCCCGGGACAGGCCGGGTGGACAAGGGGAGTAAAGGCCAATATTGAGTGAGTAGAATGACTTGGTGGTGGAATGTTCTTGATGTGTTCTTGATGCTCTCAGGCTCGACGATATCAGCGATTCGGTTCTGCCAACTTCATGTCAGGGTGTGAGAAGCGATCTCCTAGTGGGTCGCAGCCTCGTTACCTCCCACATGGACGACTTTGTTAGTGACAAACAGTGAATAGAAGCAGGTCAATGGCTTCATGAGGAAAGAGTTCCGATCGTCAACTCTAGGAGTGCAGGTGCTTCAAGATGTGTCCTCTGTTGTGTCTCGCTGTTCCTTCCGTCTTGGGTCGCTATCGCACAATTGTCGTGGTCGTCATTGTCATCGCCGTCGTCGCAAATTCACGCTGTCTGTCTGCTCATTCACGTCAACCATCACCCTCTCCAACCATTTCCATGCTCCCTCCACGCATCCGACCGATGTCTTTTGATCAGTTCCTCTAGTTGTTAGTCGTCTATTGTTGACCTCCTTCACAAATTATGGCTGTCATTCCTCGAAAAGTCCTGCGCCCTCGTGGTGACGATTCGGGTCGGACATTCTCCATCATCTTTGCCATCATCGCCTTTCTTGTTGTCCTTGGGTGTGTGATCTGGGGAATTATCATCCCGAAATATCGAAAGAAACGGGGCACTCGTCTAGGTCGATATTCAGTGACGCGCCGTTATCCAGCTTTCAGCTCTCCTCCTCGATTTCCGAGCCATCCAGCCCTGCTGCGTGGGTTTCGCAAACAACCTCCCATTCCTGTCCAACGATATGACCCGAGAGTTGAAAGTCCTTTCCCCAACAGTCCAGCACCAGCTCACACAGCCCATCGTACTGTCCAAGCAGACTCAGCCAAGCCAGCCAGCCACACCTATGAGCTTTTGACTCCACCTCAATGCTGGCCTTCAACAAGAAATCACATGCAAACCATGCCGCAAAGCCACTTGCGAGCAGCAAGAGAAGGCGTAGGGGTTGACCCGCGGGACTTCACCACATTCGGAGGGAAGCATGATTACATCCTACCGGTTCCGGAACCTCTTGTCTTGAAACCAAGACCTGCAGGAAGACCACCACCCCTGACGAGGCAACTGGACCGATTTCCTTTGCCTTTCAGCTCCAGCCGAAAAGGAGCACTTGTCCATCCCGCCAAACTTTTTCAAGAGTTGGAATTGAGAAACTCAGAGTCTACTACAGACACCTTCGGAACACCTTCTCCAGCACCTCAACATTCTGGTCATCCGACTGCAGTAGAAATGTCAGTAACGAGACCATCCGCAAACTGCCGGACCATTCCTGGAAATATTCCGCGCGAGTTGCACAAACCTGAGGGATGCAGAGGACACGATGCGCAACAGATTGGCCCGATGTCAGTAACAAATCTCCAATCCAAGAAGTGTGACGCGACAGGAACACCAAAGGCGAAGTACCCACGCAAGCAGGAGGGGTTGGAAAGGATGGGGACATTGACAAGACCAAAGACTCCTGTGTCGGAAATAAGAGATTGGTTCGATCGAGCAGCGAGCAATGCCAACAAGGAGAAAGATCCATCCAAGCCTTACACACCATCCACCAATCCCTTCACAACGCCTGGGCGTACATCGACGCCTCTGACTTCACCAACGCAGTCTGCGAAGAAGTCACAGGCTCTGGCAACACCGTCGCGGCCAAAAAGTACTGCTCCTCGCATCAACGCGCCATCACACAGCCACCGGAGAACCCCCAGTTCTGTGATCCTCCCCTCCCCCGAAAAACTCCATGTGTTGCAGCAGGCGGCACCGAGCAAACACAAGGTAGCCAAAGGGTCTCCTGCGAAAGTTTTCAAACGGCGCTCAAATTCGGTACGTGCCAAAATCGTGTCATGGTCCCTGCTACGACCCACCAAACGAATCTCGCGGCGTTACTCTGCTTCGTCGCTGTCGACAATCTTCAAACCGATCCTGAACACGACGAGCAAGCACAGCCGGGGCACGTCTAGCATATACAGCCGTGACGTGAGAGAATTGAGTTTCACAGGAGGGCTAGATCGTCAAGGAGGAGACGTCGAGAACAACGGTCAGCTTGTAGACGGGTTGCCGGCAGGGAAGGGCAGTCACTTGCCACACAAACCATCGGCATCTATTGACCATCTGAAGTCCAAGATTGACAACTGGGACCTTCACACAGGCGACCTGGATGTGTCCATGATGCCACGATCAACAATCAAACGGTCGGTTTCGGATTCTGGGCTTCGTTGTTCGACTTCGCGAAATTGCGATGAACTTCACACAAGCGGGCAGGTCGCTGGCGAGATACCACACGAAGGTCCCTGCAAATCCATTCCGCTCATTCAGATTGGGCGATCCAGCGACGACGTCTTTGGGATCGAAGCAGATGGCTTCCAACCTCACCAAGTGAGCAGATTGATGAACAAAATTGGACAATTCGAGGCAGCCCCAATCGTTCTTTGTGGCCTAGGCCACGGCACCGCGCCAGGAGGTGGAGAGTGGATTTGAAGAGAAACCTAATGAGGTAGTGGGTCTGTGCAAGCGACAGGCAAACAAGGACAAGGATACAAAGATATGACCTGATGTTAATGGCTGAACGAGAAAAAGATGAAAAATGTGCTCAATATGTGTCGTGCCAGAGCTGAGCCAAATGAGTGACAGCATACCGTGTGAGAACGGATGGGCATATCACGAAGGAACTTCCCTTGAGGATAGTATGGGAGATACGGAAATCCGTGTACCATCAATACCTGGATAGTAACTAGGTAGCCAATGAAGAAAAAGTTCTCAGCAGCATTGTTGGTCAAAGGCCTTGTAAGGCACAAGGCTGTGTTTCGTGGTGATCCTTCTCGTTCCCTTGGGATTCGTCGTTACTCAAAGGGCTGGGCGGTGGCGGTGGCTAAGGAGGCTGGGAGGCTGAAAAGAGCCAATAATGCCACCACACCACGTAACTTGGTAGTACGAGGCACCAAGCAAGCGACTGGGACCTGCATTGGCGAACGCCGCCGAGAGGCAATATCTACGACATCTGAAAATTTCAAGAAGTGTTGAAGTCGTCGTGGTGGGAGAATACGCCCATGCGCAAGCGTGAGCAGCCCTGTACTTGTACCAGTATTCGGACCAGCCCTTACTCAGAGGTTACGAATCCCACGCAGTCATCTGCTCAGTTATATGTACGAAAGTTGAGTCAGACTGGTGATATTACCCCTTGGGGGCCCCTGTTTTGTCAGGATGGTGGCCACGGCGGACCGAAAGTGTGGATTTTGTTCAACTGCTACCAACGCAACGGGCATCCACCGCGGTCCCACATCGTTGCAGACAAATGAAGAGCCTTTTTTCCCCTGCGTTCGCACACAAAAAACGACGAAGGATTTCCTCAAGACTCCGAAGGCATGGCCAACGCTCTCCGTGTCAGGATATCGTGGGTGTTGAAGATACGACGGCCCCATGCCATGCCACGCCACAAGCCTCGATGGGAAAAGCCACAACCTGCGATCGATGCAGGACAACAACCACGCGCATTTCCTGCGGTGGGTATCAGGCCCAGTCTGAACAGCCTCTTATTGTTCCCAAGTGTGCCCTACGGAGCAACTATGGGGTGGCCTCAGGCGCCTGATAGCATCATAGCCTGACCTCCTCTTCGATGGCGGTGGAGAGCGCTTGAACCTTTCTGAAACATCCCTGGCTGGCTATGCAACTGCGACACCACCAGTGATGATCCTCCATCTGGACAGGTCATTACATGTTGATGGACTACCTACCTCGTACATTGTCGGGCCCCATGTCTCTCCACTGTCTCTGCACATCATAATATCTAGTAAGAAAGATTTTCGATTCCTCTTCGTCTTTTCATACAACCCTGGCATTTTGACATTTTCCCCGCGTCTCTGTCCCTCTTTCCAACTGCAGATTGAAAACGATATCCATTCGAAACTTGTGTGAATCGTCTCTTTTGTTGTTGTTTTTTCATACTACTCGAGCTCGGAGGTTGTAACATTGGGTGCACAATGGCTCTATCAAGGCTGGTATGTTTTGAGTTTTGATGCGCTCGGACCATGGAGGAGGAACTCGAGCGCTGACAAGTCATCGCAGGTCCTTTTCACATCGCTCCTCGCCGCCTATACTTCGGCTGTCCCTCTGGTAAAACGCGCCACCGATGTGGTTCAAGGGAAACTTGGGAGTGACGGGTTCTGGAATGACTACGACGGTACGCAGTGTTGACTGGAAGAGCAAGGAGAGAAGGCTAATGAGTGGGGGTTCTCAAAACAGGTGGTCAGAACAGCTATACACAGTACACGGGCAACGGCTCGATAGCATCAGGATGGCCGTCGAGTTTGTCGTGGATCTCATTCAATGACATGTGGGTGGCCAACCAGAAGATCATATCTCGAAGTTGTAACAACCTCTACAAACAACCCAACAACTCGGACCGGGAAATCCAAGACCTCTACAACGCAATCAAACAGGTGTCCCAACAGACACGGGTGGACCACCGCTTTATTCTGGCCGCCGTGATGCAGGAGACGGGAGGTTGTGTGCGTGCTAAGACGACGGTGTCGCCCGACGGGACCGTGAGGAACCCAGGACTTTTGCAGTCCTTCAGGGGGACGCACTCCTGCAACGACGACGGAAAAGTACAGAATCCATGCCCGAAGGATCAGATTCTGGGCATGATTCAGGATGGAGGTGAGATGCGGATCCCCAAGTCTCCCATTTTCGTCGTTGGTTGAGCACATGTTTTGGCTAACACTTCTTTATTTACAGTGGCTGGCACGGCTAGCGGCCACGGTTACGCAAGCGACATCAATGCCCAGGCTGACATTGCCGGTATCGACTACGCGGAGGCATACTATCGCGGAGCACGACTGTACAACTCTGGCATTATCGACGATTCGGGTGATCTGGGCAAGGGCCCAGCCACGCATTGCTACGCCAGCGACATCGCCAATCGGCTGACAGGCTGGACGGACGCCCCGTCCACATGTACATTGGATTCCAGCAGTTAAAAACATATTTTTGTGTCAACCAACCAGAGAGGAACGTGTAAAGAGCGATATGTCATTAAGCAGAAGCAAAGTTGCTGTTGTGAACAGGGTACTTTTCTTCGGCTACGGCAAATGGCGAAGGGGCGAAAAAGGGGATATCAGGTACGTCGTCTCCGAAAGCCGACACAAAGTGCGTGTCCTCGACGACGACGAGAACATCTTTTATGCATGGCGTTTGATATGATGCTCAGGGCTGGCTGGCGCTCTGTCTTTTTTCTTGGGGGAAACGAACAACCGACTGTGTACGTACGCAATGAAAAAGGTTCGTCGTACACCGGCGGCGGCCGTGAAGGTCATTTGTCCAGCAAGAACAATGTGTTTTGGAAAAGGAATCGGACTCGAATCCAGCGAGCGAGGCAGGCGAGGCCGCACATGAAATATAAGATTAATTTTTTTCCGGGACACGATTCTCCGTTGATGTTCATCACATGTTTTTCCACCACCGCGACCGCGAAGCAGGGACTCTTCCCAGTCAGTTCCCACTCAAGAACCAGAGAGGAGGGAAGGGTATGGTATATCATATCAGTGGCATATCAATGTGAAACCACGATGAGATGAGATACTATTGTTCGGAAGATGAGGAGAGTCAAAAATTCCACGTTTGTCACTTCATATACACATACACACCCACACACTGTCTCTCGCGCTTGGGTCTCTTTGTTCTCGAAACACACTCTCTGGATTCTGGTTTTTGATTTCCGGGAGACTTTAGAAACCACTTTCATCCCTTGGCTTTACAGCCTTGGTCCAGATCGTCTGATCTGTTTCACCTTGCTCTCTCATCTTCCCTTTCTCCCCCTCTTTGTTTTGCTGACACAGGCTCAATGGCGTCCGAGACGGGCTTCAAGGCTGAGACAGATGGCCCTCGAGAGACAATCTCTGTCGGACAAGGTCCCAATAAGACAGGGCCCCAAAAGGATGGTGAGTGTGGGGGTGGGAGTCAGTCAACGTGGCGAAGGGGAAAGGAGGGGGCCTATCTAACTTGTGCCTTCGCAGTCCCTGTGTCAGGAAACCAGAATTCAAGTGTTGAGTCCGACATTGACATCGACATCGACGCTGACGCCACTGCCACGGACAACACAACCAAAACCACTCCGGCCACCTCAACACCTACCACTACCACTATCACTACCACTGCTACCGCCGCCGCAACCGACCAAGAGAAACGCGATCTCATCGGGCACTACGCGGACGTATTCTTCCACCGCTTCCGCCGGTACCCGACCCCCTGGAGCGGATGGACGTTGTCAACCACGAGATCTGGGGCCGCGCCAAGCTGGACCGGCGGTACCTGAGCATCTGCGCCCTGCACGCCGAGTACTTCCTCATGATGTCGCAGTACCTGCGGCACACGCCGGACGTGCTGGAGAGCGCGTGCCGCGAGCTGTCCAAGTTCCTCGACGTCCAGGAGTACTGGTGGCCGCTGTTCGTGAACCTACCAACATCATCGCAGGCCAGGAGGCTCGCGCTGGTCGATGCCGTGTTTGAGCGCGTCAGGGATCCAGATTACGACGTCGCTGCGTTTCAGGCGGAGTATGCCGCGTCTCACTCGGAGGACCTTGACGAGGGCGTCGCCGATATCCTCCGCGCGTGGCTCGATGTCGCCGCGGCGGCCCCGGCCGGGGGGGGGGGCGAGGAATATCCACGGGATGTGAATGTGATGTGGCATGGCGGAGCCGAGGCGGAAGAACAAGAAATCTATCACAAGAGGGCAATTGCGTGCCTAGACAGCGAACGGGGAAAGGTGGAGAGGGGAGGGAGAGAGAAAGGAAGAGTGGGCTTTTTGCTTGTGATGACAGACAACAACATTCCCTATTCCTACGTATCGCACGCTGGGAGCTGTCTTACCGGAGACTGCCCCCATCACTGTGAATAAATTCTGTGTTACCCCTCCTGTAGCTGCCATCTATCAGTTGGCTAGCAACCTATATCTACCGGTGGCCTCTCTGGGAACCCTAACAGACGCAATATCGGCATAAGGATGGATGAGGGAAGGATGAAACACGAACGATTGAGGTCGCTCTTCTCATAGTCATCAAAAATCAGAAGTTGTGCTTGAGCGGTATGCAATCGCTAAACCTGTGCGTCGGATGGATGGATGGATGGATGGATCTGTAATCAGAGAAACGATACCTGTGTGAAAATGAGTTTATGAAACCACGTATTCTTGCTCTCTCTCACCCTCTCCTCTTGTTCCTGCATCTCGGTGCGGTGTTTGTCTTGTTCTCTCTAACATACTATTATGATTCGCTGGGGGGGTTTCGAAAACCAGGGTGTAGCTACTGTATCTACTGAAGATAGCTATATATTATGTACCTGGAATGTAGATGTAAAGCGTTAAAAGCGCCAAAAGTGGATCTATACACTATACCTACAAGCAATCACATACACACACAGCTAGCCTGGTGTAATAAGGTACAGGGTGATGTGATCCCGGTGTGCGTACCCTCGTCGCACGACAAGACGGAACCCTGCTCGGTCCTGATGCGGCTCACCCGTAGGCATTCGGGTCCGACGGCGGCTGCGGGCACCTGGCGTTGAACAGTGCCTCACATCGAGCACTGTTTTTCATGTTCGCTGTGGTGCCCATGAGATTCTCAAAGGCGCCTCTACATACTTGCCCAACCCGTTGCCTTCCCGGTTAGGGCTGATGTAGCCGGTGCCTTCCTTGGGGTTGTGGTGGTGAAACAGTTCCGGGTTGACCGAGATGCAGTGCAGAACGCCTTGCTTGCACTACTGCATCAGGCCTACGTCAAAGCCTCGTCCTGACCGCTGCTCAGCGTCTTGAGAATGCTTCGTGCCCCGCGCCGGCTGATCCCACAGCTAAACGTGCACATCGTCATCGCCAACTTCTGCACGGAACGGTGATCCTGAGCGACGAGGAATTTCTTGGAAAATCCCGCGTAGTCTTCGGTGGCCATGAGCGAGTCGTCGTAGTACTCGAGTCTCTCCGTATCCGGTTCCGTCATCTCGCCGCAATGGCCCAGCCACAAGACGTCCCAAGCACTTCCAAATGGGCTGGGGTCCGAAGCGGGCGTCTTTGTATAGTTTCGGACATTATCAGAAACCAACTTCATTTGTTCGTGGATACCGGATACCCGTGTCCCAGTCCAAGTCGTCTTCAATAACAAACGCATTATTGAGGCCAGAGGCAACAATGTATCTCATCATGTCAAGATGGGTTAGCCATGCTCGAGCCGAGCCATGTCCTGGTTTGCGCACGTCGGCAGGACCTAGAGCCTCGAAGGCTGAAAACGAGATCATTCGAGTTTTAGGGCGGTTCTGGGACAGTGATTTCTAGACCGGTGTGCGCTGCAGCGGCCAGCAACCCGCGAGTTCGCCAGCTCGGTTTCATAGAGATCGTTAGGATCTTCTCAAACTGAAAGACAAATCAAAATCAGTAAGGTTGTGATGACGCCAACACCGGGCGGGAGCAATATGAAGGTACATTCACCCCCAGAGTCGAGTTTGCTGCAATTTCTCGGGTGCTAAGGCTCGTAGACCTCGAGAAAGACGGAGAGGGTGTTGGCAACAGGAAGGCAAGAACAAACACGAAGAGAACGGTGGCGGCGACCTTTTGGTAGATGCTATTGCCGCTCTGCATCGCGTTACATATGCCTATCCGGGCCATATCTGTCGTATGGACGTTGGGCTGGCTGGAAATACCAGTGGGATGAATCCATGACCAAGAAGTTAATATCTGGGATCCCCAGAGCTCCGAGACAAAGAAACTCGAAAGCGGGAAGCAAAGAGGCAAGTCGGGGCATTGTTCGGATTGAAGGAGAAGCTAACGACTCCAGAGTCAGGGGGGAAAATGGCTGCGTCTAGGCAGATTAGCCCTTGCGTTGACAAGACATATGATGAATTGAACTGAAGCAAGGAATGAGGTGTGTATGGCAATAGAATGTGGATCATAATTTTGGCATTGGCAGCAAGCCACCGATATAATTTCCATCCTGTGCAGACGGACAATGTTGGTAGTTGGGAAGTTCTGGTGGTTGAGACAAAGAATACATTAGGCGACTACGCCGCCATCATCGCCATCGCTGTCAGGGGATGAAGGAGTCCGAGTTGAAATTCTCCGTCCATGGTTCGTCTTTTTCTCCTTCTCTTGGCATCCACTTCTGGTTTGACGTAGGTCTGGAGTAATAAGGCATTTGCTGCGGTTCTTAGCTCAAATTCCAATGGCTAGATCTTGCTTTCACAACCCTGCTGTTCTCGGCCTATGTGTCCTGGGATGTTAGCATTCACCTTGCGTGTGAAGCCTTGTTGGCCTCAAACATCATTTGGACACAAGTCATGATAGTTTCAGACGGTTCGCAAGTGGTCTACTAGGAAGAAGGAAATCAAACGTCGTCCTTTGGTATGAGCGCGTTGGGTGTAGTGGTGAAATCGAAGTGCAGAATTGAGTGGTACGAGGTCCTTGTCTCAAGTCTAAAAGCAGCGTGGCGGAAATGCCAGGTAGCTATGGGTCGTAGCCCTCGGCTCCACTTGAGGTCCAAAACGGCAGAGACGGAGATAAGCATTTCAATTGTCCCGCATTTGACGAACTTGGTAAACCGCTGCGCAGGCGGTCGCCCGATCAGAGTCAATACCTCATCACTGTCCGCAGTCTGCGGTTTGGTCTCTTTCCCTTAAACCTGTGACTACCTTCACTTATCTCAATTAAGCCATGGCCAATTCCCCAGATCCCCGCGAAGGATTGAGTCCCTCACCGTCCAACATCCTCGATATCTTTTCCGTTGACGATGACGATGATGACGGCGAAAGTTACCACCCCACCGAGGAACAAAGTACCGACGCAGGTGGCACGCAGGATGAAGACAGCGATGCTGATTTCATTGGTACATACCAGCCATATTCCGAGACATGTATGGCTTTTGACTGGCTACAGATGCCCAGGAGACTTTACACGGCATTGAAATAATCTACGAAGGCGGAGATGATGACGAGGAAGACGAAGACGAAGATGAGGGAAATCACACCGAGACTGAAAACGATGGTGGTGCTACAGGATCGCGGACAGCCACCCGACCTTCCCCAGGTTGGTTTTCATTACTATCTGTCGGCCTGTCTCTTCGACTAAACTATTTGCAACAGTGACTCTCCATGACATCCGAGGCCTACTTAATGCCAGTGCTCCTCTTCGGCAACTTATTCTTAGTCGATACCGCCTGTTAGGCCCGAACGGTCGAAACCTCTTCGCCGACGACGATGATGATGACGATGACGAGCCGTACGATTACGGCGGTTTCAGTCGCCGTCGGCGGGTTCAACGACAAAAGCCCAAGGGCGACCGCTTCCCCAAAGTCCCGAGCGAAGCTGGAAAGGCGCTGATGAACTCGGGTGCCTATGGCTGTCGAGACACATACTTGGACATCCGACGCAAGAGAAGACGCACAGTCAGTGAACGCCTACTATGGCGACGGCTGGGGTTGGAGGCACGATCCACCATGAGACGGCAGAACAATCTCATTGCCCAAGATCAAGTACCCAACTCCAACACTGCCGACAAGATCATTCACTATGACTCGCGAGCCTACTCGGGTCAGTTTTCCGACGACGGGAATTTCTTTTTCAGCTGCACGCAGAATTTCAAGGTTCGCATGTACGACACATCCAACCCTTATGAGTGGAAATACTACAAGACAGTCGATTACCCATTTGGACAATGGACGATCACAGATGCGACGCTGAGCCCGGATAACAAGTGGCTGGCATATTCTTCGATCCGGCATACGGTGTGCCTCGCCCCGACCGACCCTACGGACCACTCGGACCATACTTTGTTGGACTTCACCAACTTTGCTCCCGGGGCAGGGATGGGTCGACCGACCTACGGGTACATGGGCCGACATGGTTTTGGCATCTGGTCCTTGCGTTTCAGTGGTGACGGAAGGGAGATTGTCGCCGGAACATCAGATCACTCGGTCGTGGTGTATGACTTGGAGCGTCGTCAGTCGACTGTTCGTCTATCGAACCACGAAGACGATGTAAATGCGGTCTGTTTTGGTGACAAATCCTCACCCCACATCCTTTACTCGGGTAGTGACGACCAAACGTTGCGAGTTTGGGACCGACGATCAATGGCGGATGGCCGTCCCGCCGGCATTTTCGTCGGCCATACAGAGGGTCTCACGTACGTTGACTCCAAGGGCGACGGTCGCTACGTTCTCTCCAACGGCAAGGAACAGATGATGAAGCTTTGGGACCTTCGGAAAATGATTTCTCCAAACGAATTCTCCAAGATCGACATCCGTCCGTACACCACAAACTTTGACTATCGATTCTCTTCGTACGATGAAGACGACTACGTTCCCAATCCCAAAGATTGCAGTGTCGTAACATTCCGGGGTCACTCCGTCCTCAAGACACTGATCCGGTGTCACTTTTCGCCTCCAGGGTCTTCCAACTCTCGGTATGTGTACAGTGGCAGTGAGGATGGAAAGGTATACATCTGGAATATGGATGGTACCCAGAAGGCTACAATCGACGTCTATGCAGCAACGAGACACACGAGACCGAGAAATGATGGAAGTGACAGCTTCAACGGTGGAGGCTATGGTTATGAACTACACGGACATCACAACAGTGTGTGGAAGACTTGCGTCAGGGATGCAAGCTGGAGTCCCACTGCACCGGTCCTGGCTGGTAAGTTTCAACCATCTATGCACACAGCTTCTGCGTCTTTGCAGACTGCTTTTCTTCTACTCAGGCTTGAAAGACATGTGCTAATGTTGTTGGTTAGCGACTTCTTGGAACGGCTGGGGTATGGCCACGGGCACAGTCTCCGTACATTCCTGGAACGACGGCGCCGAGGACGACGAAGCTCTTCCGGCCATGTCTTCGAACTACAACGCCCGTCTCGATCCCCGAGAGGACTTTGACAACGCCATGCGCCGTGCTAGAGGCGGAAACCGGGGCAACCCGACCAACAGCAGTCCCTCTACGACGCGGAGTCGCGCCGAGGGCAGAGGTCTGAGGAGCAACGTCGTCCGGCCCGCCAGGTTTGGTGACGACGAGGGCGGTGGAGGCAACATCTGGTGACAATCACTGGCGGATACGGCGAGGATAGTGGGGAGACGGCTGAGTCTGAGAAGCGGCATGCGGCACCACGACGAGACGGAAGGCAACGGAAGGGGATAGAGATGTTTTGTCTCCTCGTTGTTCCGTCGCGAACGTCGAGAGCTATCGCCGTGCCTGCGCTGCAAACCCAATCGATCCAAGCGGTATCCTGGGACTTTCCCAACAAGGCGTTGCGCCTGCATAAGCACTCGTTGATGTGTGTGAGCGTGAGGGTGAGCGTGGTTGTACATACGAGGGAGAAGAAACCCTTTGCTCTAAGCGAACGCGCTTGAAAAGCAAGCCGCCGACACGAAGCCGACCGAAAGGAGGAGATGGCCGAACAACTACGAGGTAGCGAAACAGCCAGCCAGGCCCGACCCGTCTTTTCCACGACCCCGAGTCACTCGTTCCCATTCCCGTCCCCATCGCCATGACCATTGCCATGAAACCCCTTTCGAGGGCCTGACGCCAAAAAAAACCCCCTCCGCCATCTTGACACATACACATACGCATACTCATGATCTAATGGAAACACATACCTGGGGGAACACTCAAAAAGCCACACACTCACTCAGACTAGACGAATAGATGAATGAAATTTGGGGCCATTTTAGTTTTTTTTTGGTAGGGGTTAGGACTCGGACTAGGACTTCAAGATCAACGGTACATGAAAAATACTCTAAAGTAAATAAATACTTCCCACAAGTGTATGATGGATGTCACGAGCATACAATACTGGCTTGGCTGTGATGGGCTGGGCTGGACTGGGCTGGGGTCAGCTAGGCTCGTTGATCTGGGTGGTTGGTGTCTGAAGCTGGGCCTGGACCTGGATCTGGATCTGGATAACAGAGAGTGCATAGGATAGCCTAACATAGCATAGCGTATACACAGACGCAGACATACAGACCACACATACACACACACACACACTCTCTCTCTCTCTCTCTCTCTCTCTCTCTTCAGAACGTCGAGGAGATAGGCATCGGTGCTTGTCCAGAACAGACGGTCCGGTGTGCAGCATGACAGGCTCTCGAGATCGTCGAACTAGATGTATCACAACGACGTTGAGAAATTGGAAGAAAGACGCATGCACTGCTCGTCGAGATCAATTCGATTCAGCTTTTTCCCCTGCGTGCCCCTGTTTTTCCCCGGCTCGACGGTCCCCTATATCACTTCTCCAGGAACCTCCGGGGGTGAATGAAATAGTAATACAAAAACGCTCAGGTAGGTAGGTAGGTGTTTGGTGTGGCAATGACGGTTTAGTCGTCATGTATTGGAAGATTCGACGGGGGGGGATGATTTATGCGACCATCCGAATTGTCTTTTTTTTTCTTCTTGTCTCCCGTCCAGGTTCTGTTGTCGCTCATGTGTATGTAAACTATCCCACTAATACGTTGTTGACGGGTATGTGTACTACACGCAAGGAAAGCCCATGCGGGTTATGCTGTTAGCATTTTGCCTCTTGTGTCTGTCTCCGGAGCTTTTTTGTTCTTCTGGTCCACAGCCTCGAATCGGGCAAAGAGAGGAAAAAGGGGGAGGTAACGCACTCAGCTTGATGAAGTAACC